CACCGGGCGCCCGGGGGCGAGGCCGGCCCGCCGGAAGCCTGCTACCTGTGCGGCGAGGGCTGCGGCAAGGAGGCCAGGCCGGTCTCGGCTAAGATCGCCAACGGGAACGCCAAGAGCGCCATGCACTTCCCCTTCCTCAGCCTGCTGCCCTGCCCGCCCGGCGCCAAGGGGCTGAGCAAGCACTGGGAGGTGAGCAGCTGCCGCAAGTGCTACGGGGTGCTGCAGGACCTGTGGGCCATGTACCGGGCGTGCCGCGACGAGGAGCTCATCACCTCCGTGCAGAGCTTCCTGGGCAGGTACCACCAAGTTTTCTCCGGCACCGACGCAGCCGGGCATCCGGCGGCCAAGCCCGGCCTGGCCTCCTTCTGCTACATCTGCGGGGCCGAGCTGGGCACCGGCAAGGAGTTCCAGCTCAACGTGAACCCCCCCGGGCGCTTCGGGGAGAAGGAGCCCTTCTTCCCCTTCCTCACGGTCTACCCCCCGGCCCCGCGGGCCAGGCCGGCCGACGCCACGGGGCTGGTGTCCACCTGCGTCCTCTGCTACCACGACCTGCTGGGCCAGTGGGCGCAGCACGAGGGCCGCAACGCCCACCACCCCAGCAGCGCCTGGTCCCGGCAGTACAAAGTGGAGACCTTCATCTGCTTCTTCTGCCGCCAGGAGAAGAAGCGATGCCTCGGATTAAGGGCCGTGTGCGTGGCCCGGCTCCCCGTGTTCCTCTACACGCTCCGGGTGCCCAACAGCTTGCTGGTGGACGATGGGAAGCAGCTGATCATCGGAGCGTGCCTGGACTGCAGAGCGGTGGTCCTGGCTGGCAAAAGCATGATGCCCCCGGACCTGCTGGCTGCACCGCCCCCGATGACCCTCCCCAAGGTAAGGGCCTCCTGCCTCAGTTTCCCTGCACTTGGGGTGGGTGGGACGGTCGGGTGCTTTTTTGGTGCGTCTGATCCAGGAGGTAAATGTTTGTCGTGAGCCGGTCCTGGGGGGGGCCTTGCCTCCTCGTGGGGTCGCCGCAGTAGTTGCGCTAAGAAATGCAGCCCGCGTTCATGCCAGCCGCTTTGGCCCCTGTGCTGGAGCCGTTCCCAGGCCCGAACGGCAGCCGTTGCCCGGTCGGGCAGAGCAGCGAGTGTCTCCCTCCCTCTGTCCCAGCCCGGGGAGCCGTCGAGGGGCAGGCCTGCCCCCGGTAGACGAGGGCCTCCCCTAGGAGCAGCGTTATCGAGCCGTGTGGGTGTTCGCAAGAAGGTGCAGCAAAGTTTTTCCCTCCCGAGGAGCGCGAGTGCTGGCAGCAGGCAGGCCACTTGCTGCTGCCTGGACGGGCTTTCTGGGGCAGGGGGAGGCGTTCCTCGTGCCATCTGCTTTTCCCTGTGGGAACGAGCCTGTCTCTGCAAGTCAGATGTGCAGGGGCCGCGAAAACCGCCCGGGACTCTCCGTCCTACGGGGCGCCAGCCTGCGTGCTGCGATGGAGAGAGCTGCCGCGTCTGATTCTCATCAGCGACAGAGAGGGGGGCAGCAGGTCTTCGGTGGGCCCGCGTGGGTGGGGAAACGATCGCCGCGTAGCCCGTGCTCCCGCCGTTAGATCGTGTTAGAGCTGCTGGCTCCCAGACCAGCTGCAGGATCCCCTTCCAGCAGGGAAAGGTTACTGTGGAAATTGCCAGCTTGTTTGCCCGGACCTTATTTTTCCATCAGCTGGAACGAGATCCCTTTTGAGTCCCTGCCGCTCATCACAGGCTAATTATAAAGTAGCTCGTGTGGAGAGATGGGTATGGAGCGGAGCGGGCCTGGGAGTGAGGAAATCTGTTCTTGGCTCTCTCTGCTTGGCTTCGCTCGCCTGTGAAGCGGGGAGAGACACCTCCTTGCAACTGTCTTGCAGGCACGGGGTCTTGCCTCCATGGGAGGGTTGATCTGCATTAACCCAAGTGGGAATTGGGGCTGGGTTAGCTGATCTGTATCAAACCCTCGTGCGGACGCTCGTGCTAAAGCCGAGGGGCTTCCGTTCGGTGCTGCCGAGTTCACTGAGACCTCCCCGGGTGTCCTGCGCTCAGCCGCGTGACACCAAGCCCTTGGGGACCCCGGCCTGGAAGGGAGCCCAAGGGCCGGCTACGCCACGGGGCTCCTGCCCCCGTCGCTACAGCATCCGAGCCCTCCGGCATAGCTGTGGTCTCAGGCAGCTTGTTTCCCTCCGAGCTGAAGCCTGGCTGGCAGCCACCTCCTCCTCCCGGCAGAGCTGCCTCCACGCTGGGGGGGTTGGCTGGCAGAGCGCGCTCGCCGCGGGGGGCGATGCGCTGGCGTCCTGGCGGGGCTCCGCTCTGCTGGCACAACCTTGCAACGCCGGCTGAGCTGAGAATCGGCATTTGTTGCTGCTGCAGGGCAAACCCTGGAGGAGTTGCCTCGGAGTTTGCTCGCACGAGAGCAGGGCCTGCATCTTGTAGTCTCCCCCCTCACTCTCAGCTGATAGGAAGCTCAAATTCATGCCCTTGGCTGACCTAGCGGTGACGCTTGCAGCGCCCTGGTTCTTGGAGGCTGGGGCTCTGCGGCCCTTGGATACCAGGCTCCTTGTGGGTATTGCAGGCTGGGCCACCAAACCGAGGTCTCTGGAATCACTGGGTCATTTGGAAACCTTTGGGCGCTGTTCTCAGCCAGCAGGGACGGGCCTCATGCTTGGCCTGGCTGAGACCGGCGCTCCCCATTTCCTAGCTCTCACATTTTCTCCTGGCTGATTTTTAAAAATACCATTTACTAGGGTTTTTGCAAGCTGCATCCTCCGTGCTGGCTGCAGCGCAGGGGGATGCTGCTCCTGGATGCTGTCGCACTGCCAAGTTTGCGAGGCTTTCCCTTTTGCCTGGCCAGGCAGTTGCAGAACCTGCTCGGAGGATGGCAAGGCAGAGCGAGGAGCGTGCCCTGCCGCGCTGGGCCTGTGTGAGCTGCTGTCAGCGCACGTCCTTCTTTGCCAGCTTGTCTGCTTTGGGCTTTGCCTCCTCTCAGCCTGAAGACCTCGCTGCACCATGACTTCTGCTCCTGGTTGTAAACCTGGCTCTGGGTCACTAATGTTTCGGCGGCTGCCTCCAGGCTGCGTGGTGTTGCGGTGGTCTTCCAGCTGCTGCGAGTACCTGTGCATCCCTGCTGCTCTGGGGTCCTGCTGATCCGGTGATGCTGCCGTGCTCGGTCCATGTGAGCCTCCCAGAGGTGTTGTGGCTGCACCTAGACTCGCCCCGTGAGGCTCGATCCACGCGTCTGTTGTACTTGGGATGGAGCTAGGGAGCGAGGCTGAGGCGCTGCTAGCAGGTCCACGGGGCGCTGTCTATGCCCAGCGTATGTCAGGAAGGCACCAGTAGCAGTGCAAAAGCTGCAGGGACACCTACACGTGCCTTCTGCTAGTGAGGGGACAGCCGCAAAAGCCTGACCCTGCTCAGGGAAGCGTGCAGAAAGAAGGGCCCTGCTTTCTTCTGGATGTGCTCTCAGCCAAGTGCTCTACAGCAAAGTTTTGCAGAGCAGACTGGGCCTGACCATCCCCATTGACCTCGCTGTCCCCTGATTTGGCCCCAAAAGCAGGCAGCAGGATGGAGATGCTGTCTTATGGAGGTCTTTTGCAGGACCACCCACCCCCAAAGTCCTCATGTGCTGTTGCAGACCCATTGGGGTATGGTCCTGCCTGCCTTGCGGGCTGCTGGCGTGACTCCGCAGTGAATATGGAGACGGAGCCGATCCTCCGCTCCTGCCGTTGACCCAGGTGTCAAATCCCTTTCCATTAGAAGTAGCTGCAAGGTTAAAGGCTGGGGGTCAGTCCCGTTGACCTGAGCAGGACGACTTGGGTAAGCTGGGGGGGTAGGATCGAGCCCTGCATCCTGCAGCCCTTGTCCTCTTCCCCTCACTTGTAAAGAGGCCTCTCTTGTGCTTGCGGCCTGCAGTCACTTCTCCTCGCTCAGCTTTGCTTTCTGGCCCCTGCCCATCTCTCTGCAGGCGAAGGGGACTTGAGCTGGGAACAGGTACTGCTGTGTGTGTGTGTGTGTGTGTGTGTG